AATCCATTGGTTTTCAAAATTTTAGAAAAAAATCATATCATTTTTTTGGAAATGTTCAAAGTAAAATAACTCCGTTATTTTGGACTTATTTCAAAAAGGATAAAGAGAAAATATGTTTCTTTTATCGAGATCTATCAACCCTTAAAATACTTTCACTTATTTCTGGAACACCCTGTATAATAAGATATTTTTCCAGTGGCGAAAATACCAGAATTACTGTCAATACTGTATATTTTATAAAACAGTCTGAATAAATAGTAACATCTTTATTTTGTTAAAAAAAATGTTTCTAATCATTTGCACCAGAAGGTACGAAGTACATACATAATGTGCGATAATTCAATTACCGGTTTCGGCTTTTTTCCTTTCCGCTTTGGCTTCCTGAAGGTTGCCGAGGTCGGCTTCACTCTAACCAACCGCTTTGCAGAATCACGTACACATTCCTTGATCTACTGCGTCTGTTAGTTGCTGCTGCTGCTGCAGGTAATTACAGGAGAGTGCGAACTGACTGATGTCATAATCTTACGGAAGCTCGACCGACGATGGATGGTTACTCGTCACCTAGGACGTGTGCAATCAGAATAGGGCATTTCAATCGGCGGCTCTGGTCATTTTCCTTTGCGGAACATTTTAGATAGAATTACCTTGTATCGAGTGAAAACCACGTTACAGTGAGGGTAGAAATTAACATTCAAATTTAAGGTTTAGTATTCATAGTATTTCTATTGCAGATGTTCTTTATAATGTTATATAAGTTACTAAATTTATACTGTTATATGAATACTAACTTTTAGGTAGTTTTCAGTGTTGAAATTATATATATACTTCCATTTTAACTTCACTTAGCGGCGAGATTTTAAAATAAGGGCATACTTTTTGTGTCGTTTTTTATGAATGTTGTTTATTATATTTTATCCCCACTGATTTAGTGCTAATCAGAGATAATACCTATAACATGTCACTACTGTGTGCCATTTAACTAATGAATATTCGACAAACTAAATGCGGTACTCCATAATATCCAGATTGAAAATTAGTTCTAACAATTATCACAGAGCAAAAGTGGCTCATCTCTATAACTTTTATATTTTTTTTAGACAAAAACAACGGGATTTGGTATGTTAGTATATGACATAAATTAGGCTTGATTGACGTATTCTATTTTTTTGGTCACTTACTCTTTCACCGGAAATAATTGCAACTTTTGATTTTTAAATGGCACTCTCAATATATTTCTACTTTATTCGATATAAAATGACACTCTGAGTAGAATAACATGTCATATGCCAACTTTTGACATTTTTGCATATGGTTTATTTGGAATTGTATAACATGCGGTTCATAACGACAATTTGACTCGAATGAATGAAATACCAAGTATGCGGTATCAAATTATTCGTAAAAAATTCCTTTTCAAATATGCTAATGAGCCACCCTTGTCCCATTTGAAAAAACTGAGATATGATTAAAAATACGATTTGGGCATCTTTTAACCGGCCATGGCAAGACCCGAAAAACATTAGACGATCAAAACTATTTTTCCAAGGCTCCTTGACTAAAAATTAGCGTTTTTAACACAACCATGACACTCTAGATTGAAATTTACACGATTTGTTTTAATACGATTTGTTTTTAAGCGAAAATGTCAAAAGTTGACATATGATATTTCATTCTATTCAGAGTGTTATTTTCTATCCAATAAAGTAGAAATATTTGTAGTCAAAAAGTTGTAGTCATTTCCGGTGACACAGGAAGTGACTAAAAACAATTGAATACCGTCAATCAATTCTAATTTATGTCATAATATATTAACGTACCAAATCTCGTTTTTTTTTATCTGAAAAAATAAAAAAAATTATAGGGATGAGCCACGTTCGAGACTCACCCGGTATTTCTATCATCTATCCATTTTATAGTTATACAGTTAAGCAAATTTCTGCAGATATACCAATTAAATAAAAAAACAGACCTTATTTAAACCTTTCTCCATCAATGACCTTTTTTTTATTATGCCAGTATATAAGTTAAATCAATTCTATTCTATTTCTTTGGTTTTGCTCCTTTTCTTCCTTTTGCAATTCTATCTGATTATTTACGTCATCTTTCTATATCAATACATGTCGAATACACGTGAGTTGAATCAATTATGTTCTCCTCTTTCATTATTAAGCGTAGAAATTAAATGTCAGGTATTTAATACTAAAATAGTCAATATTATTTTTTTACACATAATATATTTTTTACATTTAAATTATGTGCTTCGAACACATTTCAGTTGATATTATAGTTGAGAAATACAGTAATATTAGTTATCTACGTCAGTGAGTTAAGAAGCTCTTAACTCACGCATTTTGAATGAGTTAACAGCATTTTTATTACCGCACTCCTTGTTTAGATGACTATCAAAGAGAAAAAAATATTTTTTAAACATTTATTTTGCAATTTTTTTTTTAAATTGGAAAAATATGTTATGAGTACCTTTTCATTTCCATAGTTGTGTACTTTTTTTCGGTGCACCATTTTTCATAATTGGAGTATGTATATTCATACTTCTGTTTCGATCGTGCTGGAAGCAATCCAGAAGTGGCTCTGAATGCCTCTTCTTCGATGTCAGAGGGAATACTTCCCGAATCGCTCATTTTTTAAACTAGTGACATCAATATTATTTACTGTCATATTGACATTGCCATGCATGGTGTTATTTGGACAAAGGTATTAAGGTAATTGATTTTTAGGTTAGGTATATAGCTAAGTACAATAATTTTTAAAATTAATTGTGTGTTTTTATAGTTAGACGTAGATAAAATATTGTACAATACACGCGAGTTAACTCCATTAAGATACTTGCGTGGTTACACAACTCGTGCTACGCACTCGTGCAACTTTCACGCGCATGTCTTAATGATGCTGTTAACTCACTTGTATCGTAAATATCTATAATATTTGCTGTATTTCTATATTAATACAATTCTTTTTTTAATTATAATGGAACTTGCGCCTTCTCTCTATGAGGTTCAGAAAGAATAAAATTCTATACAATCTCACTAATAATTAGTGAATAATAAACTATATTTAATAGTAAATATATTTCAGCTAGTGTATTTGTTTAGTAGGTATTAAGAAATAAATACCAAAGCATGGATTTTGTACAAATAATATGTTTGTAGTTTAATACATACAGGGGAAGTTTTTAACTGGTAGAATAGATAATAGAATTTTTGAAGTGAAACTTCTTTACGCGCGCTGGAGTAGAAATTAAAGGCCGTGACACACAAGTGCGAGACGAAAAGTGATAAGGACATAGAAATAAAAAATGAACGAAATTATTGGGCAAAATCTACAGTAAGATTAGCCATGAAAACATGACTAAAATATGACTACCTGTAGACACTTAGTGTTTCTGCCTTCCGGCTTCATCAATACGTCAGGAATTAGCAACAATGAATTAGTGATCCTGAAAAAGTTCGTTCTTTTTTTTTATTACAGTCCCCACGATACATGGGCATAGAAAGACGTAGTAACGCGACCTGTATTTTTTACACACACACACACACACACTCCACGTGATAGATACTATAGACTATACATAATTACTATACAATGTAGACGTTTTAATACAAATTTTGTGAAAGTGGATCAAATTATTTATTAATTTTCTTAATTTATTTGTTTTTCGACATTTCAAACTACACTTTTTCAAACATGTCCTTTATATCCTTCAGTTTAATAGCTGTTAGTAAGCAGTTTCACTTCAAATATGCGCACATAGTTCAAACACAATTTTTTTTAAATGCTTCACTTCTATGCTGAAGAATTTTACATGCAAAAATGTAACCTGTATTGTGATAAATAATTATTATGGTAAAGGCCACATAATATTGGTGTTAAAATAAATATTGTGAAAATAACACGTTACCTAATGAGACAAAAACTCGGTGGAAAGCAGCGGCCGAGTTGTAAAAAATAATCGGTAATTCAGCATGTAATTGCGCACGACTCACTAATTGCATGGCCAATATAACCGATTTTAACGCCTTCTAGAATCCACAATGTAAGTGAAAACGTCGAGACAATGTTTTGCGGTTTTTGTTGTTGCGAATATTTTATTCTTTTGCTTAATCGCCAGTTTTTTTTAGCTAGACAGAAAACTAGGAAAAGGCCGGTTTTACGAAATACGTTACACGGTTTGCAAAACGAGAGTGGCACACCGGTCTTGTAGTATGGAGTTGGTTCCCAGCCAGATTATCTTGTATCTTGTCAGTGTCTCGTCGAAATTTTAGAAATTGGCCTGCCCACTTCCTATTAGGTTTTGCAATAGGCGAGGAGGATTAAAAAATTATATTTTCTAAATGTTTTGACATAATTAATGGTGTTTTGATTCGTCTCAGTTTGTACTAGATAAAATACTTACGGTTTTCGGTGAATCTACCTATAAATAAAAGGGTAAAAGTCTGAAACGTATGAATTACATACCCATTACTAAAGTAAATTATACAGGGTGCGTCTTAAACAAGTGCAAAAATTTTCATGGCTGGTAGATCTCAATAAAAGAAACATGTTTAACAATTAACTTAACATTAATTAACAATTAACCTTAACAATGGTAATATCAAAGATTAAGAAATTATACCGCAGGAGAATTTGCGGTGAACATTTCTAAAAAGTTTTCTAAAATATACAGGAAAATTGAAAAGAAAACTTACGATTTTCACATCTTTTTTTGCGAAAATAAAAATAAAAACCTCATGGATATGTTCCTGGGGTCGAAATATACCACCTCTAAAAATATTATCACTTATAGCCTCCATTATTAACCATACATGACAGAAAAATACCAGTTAAATTCTATTGCTTACGATATTTTTTCGAATATTGATATTTCTGGCATGTATAAAAATACATTCAGAATAGAGTTGGTTAGGTTAGGTTAGGATAAAATCATTTTTATTTTTTTATCGGTGTGTACATATGTATTAATTATATTTCTTTGTTTTTTTTAGATATGGGCCACTGAATTGACTACCGGTAAGTTAACTTATGATTTCAGTTTACTTTTATAAAGATTCCGTGATCCATTAAAGAAACACCACTTGCACGCCACTTAGTGTTAGTTTTTTAGATACATCCAGCATAATAGTGTTTTCTTTTCAAATTTTATTAGGCCATTATTTGTAACATATTTTAAATAGGTAGTTTATTTTTTCAGAAGGAATTTTATTGTAACACTTACATAACATGGCAGGTTAATTCGTATTATCCAAAAGGTTCTACTATTATCTAATTGACAGTTTGGCCCAAAAAACGTTAGCTTTTTTAAATAGATAATAAAAGTGAAAGGGGGTAACGTCTTGAAGTGTGAATGAAACATTCTATTTATCATTTTGAATAATTGCAGATAATCAACTTGATGGATCTGAACGTTGAATGCTATAAATAGGTGTTAATTATTTGATAGTCTATATTTATTTTAATAAAACTCCTATTTATTTTATATTATAATCTGAGTAATTTAGCACATAGATACTATAAGTTTAGCAACAATTTTTATAAAAATATGTAGCAGCAAAATATCAAAAAAATGTGTATACTTAACAAAACAAAATAAAATTGTTAGATTACATGTAATAGTTGATGTCGGCATTTCTGTAGACCGTAGCGATTTTATTCAGAAGGATGAAAGCAAAAAAAAATGCTGATAGAGCACCATTTTAAAGATCACATACCACATACTACCACAGAAATTTTAACGTGATATGTATGTTGAAATACAAAACCAAAGTCAAAATTACAATAATATTGCCCACTTAGCGCTTATTACAAGTACACCTATCAGTAGCTTAGTTTCTTTTTTCTTTGTGTGTTTGGCAAGGCAAAGCTAATAAAGCAGTTACAGCAAAGTTGATAAAACTAAAAAAATACTGTGAACTTTGGATACACATATAAAATTATTATTCAATGGATAGATAAGGAGGAATGCAAGGTTACAGCTCTTTACTGCGATAGCACTATGAAAGGTAGAGGTAACGAGACACATCTCATGGGACTTTGTTTGAAAAAGTGGTCACCGGAAAGGGGAAAATAAGGTTCACTAAATAACCACAGTGGCGCTAATAAGCAATAAAGCTGGATTTATAAACTCGGGAGTTGAGGTTCAGTTGCCGTTCAAAATGTTCAACGCTATGAAATGAACGCGCGCATTTATAAAGTCAGTTGGTCGAAAAGTTGGCAGTTCGTTTTACGTTCAGCGGAGTTCAAAGATGGTCAATGTTTATGTCGGCAGTTGCGGGCAGTTGGCGACCGCTGGCGACGTTCGGCGACAGCCAATGAATAAGCGCCTGTCGATCACGTGAAGCACAGGACGCCGATGCATTGGAAAATGACCCTTATTGTTGTTTCATTATTTCTGTTAATGTGATGTTTATATTTTGCGTAATCGTGGATTACTGTGTTTGAACTTTGACAAATACCAGAAGTATTTTTAAATCGAAAGAAAAACGTTCGAAATCTTCACAAATCTAAACCTAACCTACAACCGAAACTGACAGTTTATAAATGCAAAAATATTGAACCTCAACTGCCGCGAACATCCAACTGCAACTGAACCTCAACTGAACGCCAACTTCCGAGTTTATAAATCCAGCTTAAGGGATCGAACTGAACTTAACGGTTAGAACTTAGCGGAACGAAGAGCATTCTTCTTACCCCTACCCTCCATAGATACCACCGAATATTTGTCACAAGTCACACTGTTATTGCTGCTGTAACACTTTGTTTTATCGTTTTTATTTATTATTTAAATAAACAAAACTAACCGTTCGAATCGGCCATCACAGCACATTTTACATCGTATTAGAGAGAAGATTAATGGCAAGATTAAATTGCGCAGGTGACACCCACATTAATTTCCAGCTAGGCAAAATAATCATGGAGAAATATTTCGTTGTCGGTCTACGAAAAAAATGAGGACTGCCTTTGATTTTTGTTTATTTTCGTTTAATTATGCAAACGATTCCATATATCAAGTGGCAGGATCTCGGGGATTACATATTTTTTATTAAATCGCCGATTCGTTTCATTTTTATAATCCTTCCGATGGGGATTTCTCATTAACGTCAGTCAGTCACGTCCATCGTAATGGGTGACAACTGACTTAAGATGTTTATTTCCATTAGAATACATCAAGACGGATTAAGATGTACAAATAATCAATGTTATTTTTATACTTTCAAATTTAAGAATAAAGGCGCGTTTACAAGTGCATTGATCAAGTCACTTGAATTTAATTTGCTTGAAAGCATATTGCGAGTTTACACGTTTCATGTCAAAATGCTTTGTTACTTGATTCAAAATGGCAACAGTGCGTAAGGCCGTTAGGTTAGGTTAGGTTAGGTTGCTGGGGTTCGGGATCATGTTTGATCCCTCACTCGGAGGCCTTGGGCCCATTGCGATACACCTGTATTGTTGTACCAAACCTTCCTCTCATTCTTTCTTTGCGTTAAAGCACTTCCAGATCTTTGCAAAGTTCCCTACATCGCTGATGTTGGGTTCTGCTGATTCCTCTAGTCCCTCCAAAAAACCTTGCCCTAAAGTTTTAAAGCGTCGGTATTTCAGTGCCGGGCAGTGGCACAGCAGGTGCTCTATGGTTTCGTAACTGCCAAAGCCGTACTTGTAACTACCAAAAACTCATTGTTGAGTTCGTAAATCTAACAAATCTAATAAAAAAATACCTTTACCAAGTTCTAACAAATCTCTATTACGCTATTTTTACACTTACTTTTACGTATCCGGATATTTGTTAGCCCAATAATGGGCTACCTCCAATGCTTTCCGTTTAGTTAGCCGTAGGTCGTCGAGGGTACATCTGTGGGGGCAGGCAGGACATTGAAGAAGATGTTTCCTGTCCTGAAAGGCACCGCAGTCGCCTTTGTCATAATTCCTGTCCAGCAAACCCTATTTGATTAGATTGGATTTTACTGGGACCACCCCATTTCTGGGGGGGTTCATCCAGAGCGTGGCTTAGGGAACGTCTAGATCTAGAAAGGCTTAGCGTCTGGATTTGTAAGTCTGCTAGAGCTGCACTCTTGGCCAAAAATTGAATGACGAACATCAAAAGCTTGTTTTATCTTCTCAGTATATTCAAGAGATTTTCTGCATAAATCGGGGTTTGTAAAACTAACTTGTAAAGGCTATTTTTATAAATTACATTTATACTCTTTTAGTTACAAATTTTGTAACTAAGTGTGAGATAGGGGTGCATACTCTCTCCCACCCTCTTCAACGTTTTTTCAGAAAACATATTTAGATAATCCGTATGTGGCCAAAAAGGAATTGTAATAGGAGGAGAAATAGTCAATACTATCAGATATGCCGTCGATACCATAACTATAGCAGAAAATGTCGTAGATCTACAAGAATTAGTAAACAGAGTCAATGAAACTTGTAAGAATTGGAGGCTATCTATTAATATAAATAAAACTAAATATATGGTTGTGAGTAAACTAGATGTCGGCGAGACCTCATTATTGTTGAATGAAGAAACGTTGGGGAGAGTGGCGAAGTTTAATTACCTAGGCTGTTGGATTAACCAACATATCGATCCTTCATACGAAATCAGATATCGCGTAGAACAAGTAAGAAATACATTTCAGAAGTTTAAGGTCGAGTCAATGAAACTTGTAAGAATTGGAGGCTATCTATTAATATAAATAAAACTAAATATATGGTTGTGAGTAAACTAGATGTCGGCGAGACCTCATTATTGTTGAATGAAGAAACGTTGGAGAGAGTGGCGAAGTTTAATTACCTAGGCTGTTGGATTAACCAACATATCGATCCTTCATACGAAATCAGATATCGCGTAGAACAAGTAAGAAATACATTTCAGAAGTTTAAGTCGCTGCTCTCAAATAGTTCACTAAACATCAAAATACGGGAGAAATTTACGAAGTGCTATGTGTGGTCGATTCTTTTTTATGGATGTGAGACGTCGACACTTAATAAAGAAATGATAAATAGAATCGAAGCATTTGAAATGTAGAAGAAATGAAGAAGTTCTTCGAAGAATGGAGCACAACAAGCTACTTCTGAAGCTTCTTGGCCGTATAACCAGTGGACCTCGATATGAGTTTCTCCGACTGATCCTTAGCGGAAAAATCAAAGGAAAGAAATGGATTGGGCCCAAGAGGCTTTCGTGGTTGAGGAACTTGCAACAATGGAGAGGCTTGGGCGCGGATGAATTACTCCATACAGGGCAAGATCGAGAGCGATACAGATATAGTTGTTAACATGGCAGTCGCCAACGTTCACTAGGAACATGACACTTGAAGAAGATTTTGTAACTTTTTGAACATTAAATCGCGCTTTTCTCAGTCTGGAGAGAAATTTACTTTTTTCCCCTGACCTTTCAAATGAGAAACAACTATATAATTCTTTAAAGCTCCACTCAGTACCATATACATACGATGATAACCTTAAACTTTCCCCATTGATCCTTCCAACGCCTCGCCTATATTACGTACTTTGCTTGAGATAGAGTTATATTCTAATGTCACCCCATTATCTCGATACCTTCACTCAAAATCACGCAGAATGTATAAATCTTTCGCCGATAGACGAGCAGTCCGCCGCCCGTCACGGCTTCGTCCAAACAAACGATTTTCATCATCGGTCGGGAAATCGCCTTATTTTCTCGTCTTCTCCATCGAGACCTTTGCCATTCGATTTCTGTAATTGACGTGTCCGTCATTCGACGGCCTTTTCACTCGCGCGCTGTCTTTTGAAATAGAAACATTCGTTCGCCGCGACATTAATATTAATTTTTCATACACGAGCTTTATTCCAAGACTAGACGAAGTGGAGAAATATTTATATCGAAATATGATTAGTTCGGAAACTTTAGTTTTGTATTATTTTGATGACAGTTTTCACATATTATTAATATTAATACTTGATTTACTGAAGATTACTTAATTTTGTTTTATAAGAGAGGTTCCAAGAAATTTCCATGCATGTTTTTTTGTACAATC